TTCTGAAATTTGATTTGTCCTTTTCATATGTGTTCATTTTTTTAATTGTATCCTTTGGTATATATGGTTGTGACAATTTTCTTCCTCTATTTGATCTGAGGAAGTGGGTCTGGCCCACAAAAGCTCATCACCTAATAAACCATCTTGTTAGTCTTTAAAGTGCTACATAGTTCTGTTTTTTGTTATAATTAAGAAGAAACTATTTCCCCTAAATATCATAAGTGAAATAGATCAAGACTGTTTTCCAGGGATGCTGGAACAATTTGTATAGTGGGGGAACTGCGAGCCATTGAACTAAAGAATAAACCTGTATATAATGGAATGCGCTTCAAGCCGGGAGCATGGCAGCACCTCTAGTTTTAGCACCTATGCTATTTTCTCATGAATGTGTAATATTGGGTCCCTTTTTATTAAGACCCTGGGCCAGTGAGGTTTTCTACTTAAACTTTGCAAACCATTTTTACCTTGCTTTAAAATGTGTCTGTAGATCTTGTCAGAATATAGTTTATGCGGCTTTATGGGATAGTCAAAGAATCATGTTTCTATGAGCCTGTTACTTTATAGTTGAATCTTATGGTTAGATGAATTTGCATTGATGCTGTGGAACTAGAAGTGGGGCCAGAGCTTATTACTAGATAATGCTCTAACTTCTTCCATGGGACATTCCCAAAGAAACATAATTTAATCTTGAAATTCTCCTGTTCTTACAAAGGATGAGGAGACTTACCGCAAGAGATCTCACCTGCAGTGCTGTGCCATGGTCTCTTCTCCACCCCACTTCTCTCCTGTATCCTCTTGAGGTTTGTTCTTCTGTGGTAGAACATCTTTCTTTGTGCTCCGTCTGTCCTAGAACTTCTGTTCTTGCTGTCGATGTTTCTAGACTGAAGTGTAACTGGCACCTTCTTTATACTGTCTTGTCTGATGGCTTCTTTGCTTTCTGGTAGGCAGAACCATAATACTAAGCATAAAAAAAAAATCTACTGGATAATGGGGGGGAAAGGAAAATCCATTCACCCTTTGTTCCACTTTCTGGCTACATCTACATTGTCCAGTCTTGCGCTAGAACATATGCAAAAGCCCCTTGTGCAAAATGGCAGCTCATTAAGTATGCAAATGAGGTGCGGCAATATTCATCGCTGCCCCTTGTTTGCATATGTTCTTATGCAAGACCGGGCAATGTAAACATAGCCTCTATGTTTAAGATCTGTCATATGGTTGAAGCAGAGAGGAAGATTAGAAACCTCATTTTGCCCTGACAAATGTCTGGGGATTTTTTCTTTGTGCTGATCTTGAGGCATTTTTATACTCAGGCAAAAGGAGCAGATGAGGAAGACCAACATAGGAAAAGATGTAGATGAGAGGCTCTTATTCCATGGAACAACGGCATCCCATTTGGATACCATCTGCTGGCAGAACTTTGACTGGAGAATCTGTGGGGCCCATGGAACAGCCTTTGGAAAAGGTATAGAAGTTATTTGTGTACATATACCATGAACTTTCTCTTGCTCTTTCTCTATTCCTGGAATATAGTGATGCAGACTCAGATCATTGCATACTGTGCCTTGCATAGTTAGTGGACAAAAGGCTTATTGAACTAGTATTTTATATTTTCTTTTTAGAGGTGTCAGAGCAAAGTGGTTTCACAGAGCAAAGTGCAGAGCAATATGGTTTCAAATTTAAAAGATCTGTTCTATCCTTCTGAATTCAATCCTGGCAGTTTGAAAATTCCCTCTGATTTTAATAGGATTGTTTTAATAATAATGGAAGTTAGTCAGGCATATCAAAGAATGTGAAGAACCTGTGCTGCTATCTAGCAACACTTTGGATTTTCTGCATTTGACGAGTACCTTCCCGCCTTTTCATATAGAATGACTGACTAGTTTAGAAATATTGAAAGGATCCTTGCTTGCAGGTAGGGATTCAGTAATAGTTAACTCAAGAATCGTAGAATACTAGGACTGGAAGGGACCTCGAGAGGTCATCGAGTCCAGGCCCCTGCCCTCATGGCAGGACCAAATACTGTCTAGACCATCCCTGATAGACATTTATCTAACCTACTCTTAAATATCTCCAGTGATGGAGATACCACAAACTCCCTGGACAATTTATTCCAGTGTTTGACTACCTTGACAGTTAGGAACTTTTTCCTAATGTCCAACTGTGGCGGGCGCCTCCCGCCTACCCTCTTAAGTCCAAGGCCCTCTGGCCTGAGTCCGAAGTCCAGTCTACATCCGGGCCTTCTCGGCAAAGCCACGGCCCTCCAGCCTGAGTCCACAACACAGTTTAAAGCTGGCCCTTTAAAACAAGGCCAAGACCCTCTGGCCTGAGTCCATAACACAGTTTAGGGTTGTAGCGGGGACGCACCCCAGGTAGGGCCCTGTGAGCGACCAGGTAGTGGGTCACTCCTTCAGCGGGGCAATCCGGCCAAAACGCGCCGAGGTTCTCTGAGTGGGAGAGGGGGCTCCCACCCCTGCCCTGGGCCACTTCCTACCTGGTTCCCTAGGGTTCCTTCCCCTGTACTTGCCCTGCTTACTGCGACCTCCCAGCCGTCATCCCCTCAGCAGGCAGTTCCTGGGTCGCACCAGCTTGCCTCCGTGTCCCCTCCGGCTTCTCCTGGAGTCTTCAGTAACATCTGTGCGGGAGCCCTCTCCACAGGTCCTCCTTCTCCAGCTGTTTCCCCTGACTGAGTTCTTCCCCGTGCTTTTATAGTGGAGCTACAGCCCGGGCATGCTCGGTAGGGCTGTGGGGGAGGGGCCTCGACAGCCAGGTAACTCTGGCTGGGCACTGCAGGTCCAGTGCGGGGCTGCCTTGCCCCATCACACCAACCTAAACCTCCCTTGCTGCAGTTTAAGCCCATTGCTTCTCGTTCTATCCTCAGAGGCCAAGATGAACAAGTTTTCTCCCTCCTCCTTATGATACCTTTTTAGATACCTGAAAATTGCTATCATGTCCCCCCTCAATCTGCTCTTTTCTAAACTAAACAAACCCAATTCTTTCAGCCTTCCCTCATAGGTCATGTTCTCTAGATCTTTAATCATTCTTGTTGCTCTTCTCTGTACCCTCTCCAATTTCTCCACATCCTTCTTGAAATGCGGTGCCCAGAACTGGACACAATACTCCAACTGAGGCCTAACTAGTGCAGAGTAGAGCGGAAGAATGACTTCTTGTGTCTTACTCACAACACACCTGTTAATGCATCCCAGAATCATGTTTGCTTTTTTTGCAACAGCATCCCACTGCTGACTCATATTCAGTTTGTGGTCCACTATAACCCCTAGATCCCTTTCTGCTGCACTCCTTCCTAGACAGTCGCTTCCCATTCTGTATGTGTGAACCTAGTTGTTCCTTCCTAAGTGGAGCACATTGCATTTGTCTTTATTAAACTTCATCCTGTTTACCTCAGACCATTTCTCCAATTTGTCCGGATCATTTTGAATTATGATCCTATCCTCCAGATTAGTCACAACCCCTCCCAGTTTGGTATCATCTGCAAACTTAATAAGCGTACTTTCTATGCCGATATCTAAATAATTGATGAAGATATTGGAGAGAGCCGGTCCCAAAACAAACCCCTGTTAAACCCCGCTTTTTATACCTTTTCAGCCGGATTGTGAACCATTAATAACTTCTCTCTGAGTAGTTATCCAGCCAGTTATGCACCCACCTTATAGTAGCCCCATCTAAGTTGTATTTGACTAGTTGTATTGATAAGAATATCATGCAAGACCGTATCAAACGCCTTACTAAAGTGTAGGTATACCACATCCACTACTTTTCCCTTATCCACAAGACTCATTATCCTATCAAAGAAAGCTATCAGATTGGTTTGACATGATTTGTTCTTTACAAATCCATGCTGGCTGTTCCCTATCACCTTGCCATCTTCCAAGTGTTTGCAGATGATTTCCTTAATTATTTGCTCCATTATCTTCCCAAGCACAGAAGTTAA